GCTCTTTTGCTGTCTAAGCATACAAACCACTAAATGATTCAATGATAAAAAAAGAAAGAAAGCATAATCATGAGGATCGATCTCGTTCAGGAATTACAAAGACAGCTTTGCAAAGGAAAAACATTCTGATGAGGTCTATCATAAAATTTGAATAAACTGCAAATTAAATTCAGTGATATTGCCTATTAAGTTACTTAGAAAAAAGCAGTACTTTAAGTGTTATGGTCATTAGAAATAAAATGGTCATAAGAGAAAATCAATGACTTATTCTTCTTGTGGTAATGGGTCTTAATAATAAAACAACTACATTTCTTACACTTAACCTTGCTAAAAACAATGTCGAGAAAATTGTTTAGAAATACTTATTAAATCCCTGGGCCAAAAAAAATCTAGATCCTCTAAAGATCAATATTTTGATTTCAGATAAGCAGCATCAGCCCCCTCTGGCAGCATTAGGTAATTAAAGTGAGGGTCTGTGTCTTGTCTTAGACTGCCCCATTACTCAACAGAACAGAAACCAATAAAGAGGAAAGACATATAATATCAAGGTCATTCTACACACTGACAAGCAGGGTTTTAAAATGCACTGGACCTAGCGTTAAGCGTGAAGAAAGGGTTATACCGTTATAATGGGGGCTGTGGGAGTACAAAGCTTGATTTTAATGCATTACATGATACATTAAAACTATTACAGAATGCATTTGGACATTCTGCTTTAAAATGATGTGTTAGAGCAGCGGTGGCGAACTCCGGTCCTGGAGAGCCGCAGCCCTGCAGAGTTCAGCTCCAACCCTAATTAAACCTCACCTGCCTGTAGCTTCCTAGTAACTGTTCAGACCTTGATTAGCTTGTTCAGGTGTGTTTGATTAGGGTTGAAGCAAAACTCTGCAGGGCTGCGGCTCTCCAGGACCTACGTTCGCCACCCCTGTGTTAGAGCCAGGCAACATGGCTCATCTAATTGCATATCATTATTATCTAATATAATACTCACCAACAGTCTCTTGCATATATGGAAAATAAATACTTTTATCATGTATATTGCAGTATCCCAGTGGGCCTCAGTGATGAGACAAAGCTCAAATGTGTTTTATAGCTTCTCTGGCCATAGAGCAAAATCCTGTGGCTGAGATCTTTGGATTGGCTTCGGTGTGTTTTCTTTCTCTCCGTTCCCTGGACTATTCCTGGACATGCACTCAACAGTTTTCTTGTTTAACCACATTAAGCAAAGTTGGGCAACAACTTGGCAAACCAAAAATATCAAAGGCCGATGCAATGCTATCATAGCTCTGTTTACAATTATATCAGGCTCTTTTGAAGAGGGAGTGGATCCCATTAATACCCTGAACTGACTAATAACTCTCATCAGGAAAGCATCGTGGCTATACCGTTTAGGACGCCAAATGAGGACACACCTCCACATTTGGGCCACGAGCGCATCAGTGATCCGGTTTTTACACCAACTGTTACTTTAATGATACAGTACGGACCTTTATTATACATGTAGCTATTTACGTACAGAATCACATGCACGTCAGACGACCTCTCGATTATGCTGAAATATGTCATTCACTTTAAATGCTTTAAATTTCATTCACTAAAATTCGTTGTCTAAGAACAGAATTTGTAATAATTAATCAGAAGGTCTGACCAGGGCATCACAGCACTGCAGGGAGTGGCAAGGTTATTACGTATTGCCGTTCATCCCTGCCAAATAATATACTTGTATGTTTAAATGCAGCTTATAATAGATAAACGCAGGAAGAGAAAAACATCCTCTGACTAAAAGATAACGCACAATAATTTAATGAAATCAGTCTCTTACCTCCGCTCAGCGCGTTATCAGCTCAGCACCACCGCTTTCTTGGCTCCTCCCACTGAGCGGCTGAGGACGCGCAGGCTCTCGTGGCTCCTCCCACTGCTGTAAAACGTCGCCTATTTGCGTGTCTTTCAGCGTTTTTCTGGACTCTGTGGTCTGAGATTCGCCGCATGACGTTGGCGAGGAGATCCCCTTGAACCCCGAGGTTCCCTGCACACCGGCGGCGCCTGCTGCTTGAGAGCTTGTAATGGCCTGCGGGAGAGAGAGCTGCCTACTGCAGTGATCTCAATCGATGGCATGACGTAGAATCACTTCATGCCATTTGGTAATGAAACAGTATCTGTTTATCTGTTTTTGTCTGTATATATATATATATATATATATATATATAGCCTAGTATAAACGTACGTATAACGTACTATAATAATTAATAATAATTAAGACGACAGCTTTGTATTATGGACTGTGGTACAACATAATTTTGCTACAGCAAGAATAGTATAGAAAGAGAATATTACAATATTGATGGTTGTTGCATAATAAATATAATATATAATATAATATGTTATAATATAATATAATTTAATAATGTTGTCATAATAATATAATAGGTAAGAATTATTCATAGTTATTGCGCCCACAAAAATGAATCAAAAGGCTTTCCTTTATTTTAGTTACATTATCGGACAACATTCCATAAAAAGAGAAATGTAAAAACAGAGCAGCTACGTCCCCGGAAACGCGTAACTGAGAAAACGGATATACGCAACGTAGCGGAAGAAAATGTATACAATGGCAATTTGGAAATCAATTAAGTTATGAAAAAAGAGCATTGATTGCCTTTCTTTGTGGTGGATGTGTTACGGAATGGCGGACTGAGAGCAGTAGCGCACCGTCAGACGCCGCTGTTTTGCCTCGAAGGGAACTGTTATTTGACGTGTCAGGCAGAAAGAGAAGGTATATTTATGACATCTGCTGAGCTTGACAATATAGCTGGAGTTGAGTTTTTAGATTTGTGTGGTACATATCGACTGAACAAACACACAGGCTGGGCGGACAGAGCCATGCAGTTCAGAACACAGACATGCATTCTGTCGCACTACGAGTTTAATAACGTTACATCTTTTATTTGCTGTAAATGACGCTAGTCTTATTTATCTTATATACCACTGTAAGATTAGCCTGTTAGCTCCTAGATGCGCCATGTATCTGTCATATGGGTTGTGTTGACGTGCATGTCAGTAACGTGTGTTATGTCAATGCTTTTAAAGGATACTTTGGAGAATGAGTTGATTGTTTTCGAGGGAATCCAGAGGAGGTTGCAAATAAAAAGGCTGACTGGAAGATGCCAAGAAGAAAACAACAGAATCCACAACCAGTCAAGTGTAAGCTGCTTTCTCTTCTGATATTATTAGCTAAATTATTTGAAACGTGCTTCATTCCCCTCATTTGGTTTTGGATGGTATTTACTAATTCAGAGAAAAATCATGGAAACTCGTCATGTGTTTTTTTTTTTATCATAATATAAACTTGGACATGTCTGTCTAAAATCACTGAATGTTAGCTGTCATTTAGCAGACTCTTTTGTTACAGTAATAACAGAGACACACCGACTGGTTGATTATAGTATTATAATTAGTTTATAATATAATTATAAACTATCTATCGCTTTATAAATAACTTATAATTATACATAAATAGTGATCATTTTGTATCGAAATAAACATAATTGCACGGCCATCTGTTTTGACTTTGAATTGTAATTTCAGGTGTCAGACAAGCTGACTGGTAGATTCTTCTGATGATTATATGCTGTGTATCCAGTGCCCTTTATTTTAAAATGTATAATGTGACTAACTAAAAAAAGTAGGAGTTGTTTCTGTGTTTGTGTCAGATTATGAAGAAGAGCTGAATTGAGCTGTCTACACGGTGTAATTCATTTTAATATCATGTAATTTTAAGATTTTCAGTCTTAGCTGGTAAATGAATTAATAATATTTTACTTGCTGCAAACATAGCCTGCTTCAAAAGTATTGGTTGTGTCATTGTGTCCCCTTTTTTCTTATAAAGTTGTGATTATTTTCAGTCTCGTCCAGCAGATGGCAGTAAAATTACAGTAAAGCCAGAATCCGTTACTGGCCAAGTCGATTCTGCATGATTGGCTGTTTCTTTAACTTATTTTTCCTTTTTTGTTACATGAAAATCACATTAAAACTGTCTTGGAAAAAAATGTACATTGCCTTCTTTGTTTATTTTTACTGTTTCTATTCAGATATTAATATACCTATTGTTTTTTTTTACCCTTGTAAATCGTAAAATATGAAAATCCATAATTAAAAAGTTATATAAATAAAACTCGCAGTGTGATGTCATTTCCACTGTGACTAGCTATTTTGCTACTAGTAAAGATGAAAGATAAACTTCTTTCATGTCAAGCTGTAATTATTTCATTATGCCAAATATTGTGTGAAAACTGATTTAGTTTAAATAATATTGTTTTATTCAGAAAATGTTTCTAAAAAAAACAATGCATAAATTGTGACTTAGTTGAAATGACAGATTAAATAAACTATTACTATATTATATTTATATTTACTATATAAAAAAAGTGCTTATAGTTGAAGACACACCCGATTCTTATGATGTTTTGTGTTTTGAGAGTTATATTTATTTTAATTAGTGATTAGGCCAATTATTAATTGTTACAAATGAACATAATCCCACAAGATGGTGTGCAGTAGATCATCTTGTTTGTATAATAAATGTAAGATTCAGTATGACTTACAAAGCTTACAGCTGCTTGTATGGGCTTCATATGGGTTTAGGACATATTTTTACATCCTTTGATTATTATTATTTTTTAGTTTTTAGATTTTGACTATTTGTTGTGTAAAAAAAATAAAAAATAAATCATCATAAAGAAATAAAACACTGAAATAAACACTGAAAAAAATTCAAAAGATACAATAAAAATGCACACATACAGGACAATAACATCACAACAGACATTATCATTAAGATAAGGAGAGAAATGGCACACAGAGACTGTGTCTATTTTGGGTCAAGTTGCATGATCTTTCAGTGTTGTTTTTGCTATTGCTTCTGTATTTGACCATGACCCTTTGCTTTCAGTGGATTCTGAAGATGGTTTAGGCACTGTACGTCCAGCAAGCCTTACCTTTGAGAGCGACTTTCTCATGGGACAAGAACTCGAGTTTTCAGATCCTGACAATGACAACAAGATCATAGGTCTCGAAAAGTTCTCAGGTGAGTTACACAAGTTTCTAAGCCTAACTTTGGTAGGGAACATTAAAGGGTTCAGACTGTCATGGAAAATTTTGAAATATTGAGAAATTGTAGATTTTTCATTAAAAGTCAAAACAATCATAATTTTACATAGACATTTCTTGTGAATATACATTTTGAATTTTAATAAAATGATTTTTTTAAATTACTTGAAAATAACATGATAGCTACTGCTAAATCTTGAGGATTTTAAACATGCTTTAGTTTGCTGTATTGCTTGCATTTGTTAAGAGACATATGTGCTAAATATGGGACATTAACTGCAAAGACTGACTTGTAATATTAGTGCTATTATGCAAACGTGCTGCATTTTGTCTGTCAGCAAGCAGTGTGATCTTTCATGTACAGATGGAAGAAGTCAGCCTACCATTCTGGAAAATTTCTCTGGTTTTGGCATTCTGACAGAACATACAATTTCAAAATGGCAAATCAGGAAAAAATACACTGTGCCACCACTATTATATAAGGGTCATCAAGACAGTCATCACCATCAAGGACACATTATAATAAGGCATTTAGTCATCATCATCATCATCATCTCCTCTCAGGGTCTTTATCATAGTTGTCATCATCAACATCATCATCATCATCTCCCCCTCATCATCATCATCAGCAGGACCATTATAGTCATCATCATTATCATTAGGCTGGGTAATCATCCACCTGGGGTTTCTGAAACGGGCGATATAAAGGCCCGTTCAGACTTCAGACTCACACATTTCTCCAAATTGCATGTGCATGAGGAGCTTGCAGAAGGAAAGCAACGTTTCATGGAAAGACAGTGAGCAGAAACACTATAGTCTTGTGTTTTGTTGGAGTACCACCTTTTATTTGTTGCATTACTTAACGTTTGTCCACTGGCTTAGTGGGTAAGTATAAATGCCAAATATTTTTCCTATAACTTTAGCTGTTGATATTTTGTGCAAAATTTGTACTTTTGACAACTGTAGATGCATGTGATCTTGCATACAAGTTTACCTTTTTTGTGTGAGCATTTGTCTTTAGTAACTCGTAATAGCAAGATACTAATATTACTGTCAACTTATACTGAAATAGTCTTTTTATCAGCCCTAAATTGTATTTGAATGCTTGCACACTATCTGAGATAGTGAAAATGATATGATCAGAAAACATATCTATGCAGCTGCATAATGTAATGCAGTTTCCTGCTGTGGTCCTGTACAGCTGACATCAGTCTGCCTGGCTTCCCCCTGGGAGACGAGGAGAGCTCCCCCTTCAGCCGCCTCAGTATGGAGAGTGACGCCGATGACCTGCGTGCGACCGAAAGCGAGCGTGAAGAGAGGGTTTCTGAGTCTGCCTTTCCCTCTTACCTCTCTTGCAGGGGCTGTGGTCAGCTCCTGGAAGACCCCCTGGGACCCGGCATGGACTTGGTGGGGCCCTTCTGCATGCACTGCTGCAAAGGGAATGCGAATGGTGTTGTGGACAGGAAGCTCTGCTCGGGCTTAGTCTTACAAGCGGAGTCTAGAGGGGGAGGGAATGAGGGCGCTGGTGGCGAGGATGGTTCCCTAAAGCTCCACTCATGCACGCTCTGTGGTTTCACGTCGCGCTACACTAACCACGTTAAGAGGCACATGAAGACGCACAATGGCGAAAAGCCATACGGGTGTCCGCTGTGCTCCTACGCATCGGCACAACTAGTAAACCTGCAAAGGCACTTGCGCATACACACCGGGGAAAAGCCCTATAAGTGCAACCACTGCACATTTGCGTGCAGTTCCTTAGGGAACCTGAAGAGGCACCAGCGTATGCATGCAGCTGTAAGCCCGGGTCAGAGTGCCCCTCAGCCAATAAGTGGCAACGGTTTAAACCACATTACCACGGGTCAGAAGGAAAAGGAAGCTGCTCCTGCCCCCACCGAAGGTAAGTAAGGTTCTGCTTTACCCCTGAGGCTGATGATACACGGGGCAACTTTGGGCAATATTGCCGTCAACGGGCAACACAGGGCCCACGACCGATCTAAAGTATCCAGATAGAAATTTGTTACCCATTCTCAGTGGGAAAGTGCCCAAGCAACATTGCTCAAAAAAAGTTGCCCAGCAACGTTGCTCAAAAAGTTGCCCGTGTATCATCAACCTGAAAGAACATCGAAAAGAGAGTTTTAATTCAAAATCCTTCAGTTCCAGGTGCTGTGCAGTCTGCCCCGCGACCCCACATGGGAAGGGATGGAAACTACTTGCACGCCCTTGATGGCCTCAGGCTTGCGCAGCAGTCATCAACAGGGTTGTTGCAGTCAGGACAGGCTGCGTCTGAACCTGCCTCCTTGCCCCCAATGTTCTTCCCCTTCACTTGTCGGCTCTGCAGCATGGCCCTGGATGACGAAGACGGATCCTCGGCCCAAATATGCGCTAAGTGCACCCTGGAGATGCTAACTAAGGACACACCCGGATGCCCCGCTGAGCGAGGGGACAAGGTCTACACCTGTGCTGCCTGCCCCTTCCTCACCCACTACCCGAACCACCTGGCCCGCCACATGAAGACCCACAGCGGAGAGAAGCCATACAAGTGCCCGCAGTGCGACTACGCCTCCGCCCACTTCGACAACCTTAAGCGGCACCATCGAGTACACACTGGCGAGAAACCCTACAAGTGCCACCTGTGTGACTATGCCTGCGGCAACCTGGCTAATCTCAAGAGGCACCAGCGGGTGCATTCGGGCGCCAAACCCTTTCAGTGCACCATCTGCAACTACAGCTGCAACCAGAGTATGAACCTGAAGCGGCACATGTTGCGCCACTCGGGTGAGAAGCCCCATAAGTGCCAAGAGTGTGGCTACACCACTGGCCACTGGGACAACTACAAACGACATCAGAAGAAGCATAGCCTCACTACAGATGGCTGGGTTAAAGTGCAGATGCCTGGAAATGAGGAAGAGGTGGAGGACGAGGAAGAGGTGTAGCCTCTTATTGCAAGACATAGTCGTCCATATGAGATTTTACTGTTACTGCATAAGCTTTGTTGGTTGCTTTTCTTTTTCTTTGTGCCCTCATTTATTTTGAAAGTCATTATTTTAGACATTTCTTGGAATTGTCCACAAGCTGCTACATGAAGTCATGCACAAATTAAAAGACAGTTACCTGAATGTCCTAATGCAGGGGTTGTCCAGTCCCGCTCCTGGAGGGCCAACCTTCTTGCAGACTCTAAATACACTAAACACACCTGAAACGGCTAATCAAGGTCTTTAGGATTACTTGAAAATTCCTGCCAGGTTTGTGGGAGATGGTTGGCACTAAACTCTGCTGGAAGGTGGTCCTCCAGGAGCAGGTTTGGACACTCCTGATTAATGTCTTTGAACAAGGCAGTTTGTGTTACACAAAGCTCTCTAAGAGTGTTCTCTAAGCCTGATTGTGGTTCATATATCAGTGCCAAACTCTGCACCACTGCCATAGGAAGTTCTTCTTTAAGCCTGGAGCTACATTGCATGCACTTAAGTTTACCTTGATTGGCTCTTTTGAGGTTTTATGTGATTGATCATTTGTCCGTCAAAGATATTCTCAACCCTACTGATGAAAATTTCTTTACAGATGAGCATTATGTTGTGTTCTTTGATCATCTTGTTTTTGCTCTCAATAATTCTGAGGGATTATGTTGCCTTTTATTGTTGTGTATCTTTTTGACTGTGAAAAATGCCATTTGTCTGAGTTCACTTGAAGCAAAATGGTGCATAGTGGGTATTCGTGTCATGCTGAACAGAGCTTTTATTTTTGTATGTGATTTTATTTTTTATCTCGGAGGAATGTTTGGCATGTATTTGCCTCCCATGGCATTGTTAGCTATACTGAAGGACGACAGTAACCATAAACCCTAATATGCAGTTAAACCTTCAGGTTGCCAAAAACGACTGAACATTGATGGAATCTTGTAGGTGTGTGATGCTTGAGTGTTTTCTTGTTATTATGCAGTGGTTTCATTAATGCCTTAAATATCCTCAAATAAAAGAGTTTGTGTTGAAACTTCCTCATCTCAATTTATTTGCCATCTTTCAGTCACACAACTGCTCAGAAGTAAGTTACTAATAGACCAGCAGGTGCACCAAGAGCTTGTAACACTCTAAAGAGAAAGGAAAAAATGAAATCGCATCATATGACCCCTTTAAGATGCTGAGACAGGCAGTGTGTAATCCTCACACTTCCATAATGAGAGCTGTAATCCTCTGCTGCGAACAGCTCTGGTAAACATGCTAATGAAGACAGCGCCCCGGGCAGCACCGGAGCAGACAACTCTTGCCGTGATCTTCATGCTGTTAGATTGTGAGAATGAGTTTTAGATCGTTTTTCTGAAGTGTTACAGCCTGTTTTGAGGCAAAAGCTTACATTAAAAGGAAATTTGACAATCTGTGATCACTGAATGATGATTCAAATTGTAGGAGGTCAAAAAGCTACATTTCATGCTAATAGTGTTTTTTAGCCAGGACCTTGGACCTTTAGTGGGTTTTTACCCGTTTTTATACAGTCTATGGTTTTTACACACTAGCTAAGCACAGGAGTCATTGTGTCTACAGGCAATCTCATATGATAATCACACATGCTGAAATACCCATCATGCTTGTGTTATTAAACCAAGGAACAGAAAACAACACGGAGGAACATCGTTTGGCACCTACATTTATTGAAACCCAGAAGGCTCTAACTTCCATTCTTGGATTTAAAATGAAGTGAGAATTTGAAAAATAAATCATACTGATTTATGAGCGATGTACAGGGTTTAAGAGTATAGACGGTTACCCTTTTGATCCTAGATGATGATGATGATGATGCTGGTGAACATACTGAACATGGCAATCACAAATTACAGTCGGATCAGCTCAAAAATAATCAGCCATACAGCACACAGACATGAGAACAACCTTCACATTTGACGCATTCTGCCCACGGGAGGAATCATATATCTGGGATGAAGAATATGGGAATTTCATTCAATATGACTATCATTACAGTCAAAAACCCAGCATAAATTTAAAATACAGCCATTTCCCAAGCACCATGTGATCACAGTCCTCTGAGATGATTGCCACAATGTATTTAGCAAAACACAAAATGGATTATATGTATATAATAAAAAGAGAAATGAAAGACTGGAATGATATTCTTCAAAACAAAATATATAAAGTGTACTAAGACAATCACTGAAATTTAGATGTGAAATTTGTAAACACTCTTTTTCAACAATTTTCTACAATTTTGTAAACACTGATAAATATTAGTTTCTAACCTTTTTTTTTTTTACACAGCCTGGATTATATTTGATCAACTGTACTTAATAAAGATAATACAGATATTAGTAAATATTCAGAATATTTTTTTTAAATTGCATGTACATTTATAAAAGTGACATTACCATGATTTTTGTGCAAAATGCTTTAGTGAACTATAATTTTGGCATTTATGAGAAACCTTTTTAATATATTGGTTCAAGAAAAAAAAAAAACAGACCTACAAACCTCTTGCGAATGTTCCAGGATGTTTTCCCACAGTTTTACCTATCTCAATAAATACCCAAGCCATCTATCTTACTTAATACTGTGCAAAAAAAGACATGAGTTCAGCTAGTGCAAGCGGGCCTGCCGAACACACCAAAACAAAGCGAGATTTCAGGACACAGCTGAGGCCAGATTGAGAGAAGCTTTTTAGCCAATTTGTGCCCGGCGCTACATTTAATGTTAAATTTGAGAAGTTAAACTATAAGGCGTCTGAATCGGCATAAGGCAGAGAGAAAGCAGGCCACAGTAAAGATCTTGTATTTTCATCCAGGATATGCAATGAATATGCAGTAGGCGTCAGGTCGAGTTTACCTCTCCTGAATAAAAACATGAAGCTGCAGAGATCTACCATGCCATGGGTCATATTGCTGCTACCACGCAATAGTTTGAGCAACATTGGCACATTGAACGATACGAAGCACATCTCTATTAAATAATATTATCAACTGATTTTAAAAGGACCATATCAACACAGTTTGCTGGCATGGATCTTACTCTAGTAGGCAACTACTGTCACGAGCTGTCGAGAACATGAGACAACAGGAATTTTGTGTCTGCCAGATGATGACATGAGAGGAAAAGCACAGTTTTGTGTCTCTAGTAAGGAAGTACGATTCAATAAAGCCCGTCTTCAGAAGAAACTTTCATCACAGCCTCTCTTGAATGTAGCAACTTGCCCTGAGGTGCCTATGTAACCCTGTATTAATTTAACCGTGACGTTGTCTCTAATTATGCCTCAAATCTGAAATTATCTAATTTGTGTTACTTTGAGCAAGCACTGAATCTGAGGCCTCTCATAAAAGTAATGAGAGACTTGAGTCAAAATAATGTACTTCATAGGCCATTTTTGAGACCCTTGACAATTTTTTTTTTTCAAAAACGGATTACAAAACTGCAGAACTGGGCATCTATTAAAGTGCCCCTATTATGCCTTTTCGAATATTACTTTTCATGCAGTGTGTCATGTAGCTGTATGTGAACATAAACTATCTGCAAAGTTGTGAAGCCGACAGTGCACGATAAATAAAGTTATTGTCTATCAAAAAAAAAGAAAAGAAAAAAGAGTCGGCTCGCAATCGCCTAAACGAGTCGTCAGGAATTCGAATCTTATTCTGTTACGGCTCTACGTCACAAAGTAACACAATTTGCATAATGCCCGCCCACGTTCTACGTCGCCAACTTGCCCGCCCACAAACAGTAAAACTTCCGTGTGGTTAACATCAGGTCGAGAAGACGCTGTATCCGACGCTGTGAGAGTAAATTTGTTTCATCAAATCTTATAATTACCACAAACTTGTTAACACTTGACACTTACCACTGAGAAACCTCCTGCTCCAGTCGTTCTTGCGAATCAGTCTCTTGTCGATCAGCCAGTTCAACCGTTTCATCATCAGACTCCGTCTCGAATTGGTAAGGTACAATCTATACCATCTTTTCTATGTATTGACAAGTCTCCAGGGCT